ATATATTTAAAATTGGTGATCCATTCTTTATATATACAAATATTTTACAAGTCTTATTCTCTGATCTGCAGAGGAAACCCTATTTTTGCTTCTTCTCATAGTTCCCAAATTACCTTACCATCTGTCAGCACCTAAGTCTAAATAAAATGGTATTGATTTCATTGATTTTATTATCATTATTGGAAGCACATATTTCTATTCCTTTTTCCATTTTGTCTCTCTGTTCAAAGTCTTGAGATGAGTCTTCAGAGAATTTTCTGAGGTTTAAAGTTATTCAGTCCAATTTCATGTTTTAAATGGTTCTTTACTATTTGTTGATTCCAAGCAATAAATTAAGTGTTGTAAATGAATATCACATTAAGGCAATTCATGAGAAACTTATACAACTATCCTAATGCACAAATGAAAGAATTTCAATTTATTGTGTAACCTTATCCCATTTAGTGTGTTATTAAAATACATTTTGTAGCTCCACAGAGAAAAAATCTATGATGACTTTCTTTTTAAAGATTCACTGCTACTGAACAATGTTCTCTATGTCCCCAATTAATGTTGCTATTCTATTAAGAATTAAGTCTCTTTATGTTTCAATTCTAAGTAATCCCTGACTCCTCTGTGCATTTTAATTAGGCTGTTGTCAAATGACTCACTATCAAAGTGAAATTCCAATTTCAGCCTTCACAATAAATTCACTACAGAGCAACGCAATAGCGCATTCATGATGCAACTGCCTGATCATTTAAAGGGCTTAGTGTGTTCTTACAACATTCCGTGTCTAAACTACAGTAATACAGATTTTTTGAGAAAGATGAAATATATTCCAAGTTGTAAAATTAGAAGAGAAATTTATAAAATTGATATATTGTAGTAAGTACACTTCTGAAAAGAATGTGACAGTGACAGAAATTGAAAACTATTTCAGATAATTTTTCTTCCAGTGCTTTGGGAGCTGAATGCAGGTTCTAAGACATGCTAGCCAAGCACTGCACCACTGAGCCACAACCTTGGTCCTTCTTTATATTCTACTTTGAGATTGTGTCTTAATGATTTTCCCAGGCTGGGCTTGAAATTGTCACCCTCCTCTTTCAGCTTTCTGCATACCTGGGATTATAGGTCTGTGCCTCCACACTTGGTCAATTGTTATTTCTTAAACTACATTGAATTATATTCTTAAATTTGACTATTCATATTCTGTGCTCATAATCATTTCAGAGATTAATATAGTAAGAGTTTCTAAATTTTGCTTCCAATCAGTTAATTGTAGGCATTTATTTTGATGTAGTTTGAGTTTTTTGTGCTTAGTCTTGTTTTGAAGACAAATATGGTTGAATTAAAAATGTCTAACATGATCCAAGTAACTACCTGATGTGCGCACAGCACAGTGCAGACTGGCCCTGGATTACGGCACTGCAGCCCCATGCATTTGTAGCTTTTGTGTGCTGCAGAGTGCGGAACCCATGATATCACCCAGGATAGGCAAGGACAGTAATTTTATCACTCAGTTTGATCCTCAGGTCTGTGGTTTAAGCTTGTATCGTACCTGGAACAGACTGGTGATTATGAGAATTACAAGGATG